GTACAGTTCTTTAAGAGCTTGTTCATTTGCCTTACGGTCTAAGAGTCTCTGTGTATACTCTTGACCCAGGCTTCATAAATACTTGGGGATAGCTTGTAGGATGTAGGAGGTCAGTTGACAATAGAAGACACACTGGAACTTTGTAGATTGTTGTATAAGAAAGTAAATTATATTTAAGAAAATTACTTTAAAATGTGAAATTACTGTTTATGCTCTCCATTTACAGGTGTGTTCTTTTTCTCTCTTCATCAGGTGCGTGGTCCGAATCTTGGGCTTCTTGGCTTCTCCAAAGGAGGTGACCTGTGTCTCTCAATGGCATCTTTCTTGAAAGGTGTCACAGCCACTGTACTTATCAACACCTGTGTGGCCAACACACTAGCTCCTCTTCATTACAAGGGTATGATTCTTCCTGCTCTCCACAATGACCTCGGGAAACAGAAAGTCACTGCGTCAGGTCTTTTGGATATGGTGGATATTTGGGATGACCCACTGGAGGAACCCAATCGCCAGAGCCTTATTCCACTGGAAAAGGCCCAGGGCCCCTTCCTGTTTTTTGTCGGCATGGATGATCATAACTGGAACAGTGGCTTCTATGCAGAAATAGCCTCTGCAAGGCTGCAAGCTCATGGAAAAGACAAGCCCCAGATAATCTACTATCCAAAGACTGGGCATTGTATTGACCCGCCTTATTTTCCGCCTTCCAGAGCATCCGTTCATGCACTGCTGGGTGAAGCAATATACTATGGTGGTGAGCCACGGGCTCAGTCGAGGGCACAGGTGGATGCCTGGCAGCAAATTCAAACTTTCTTCCAGAAACATCTCAATGGTAAAAAATATGTCAAGTGCAGCAAAATATAAATTGCAATTGTAGATCAAATACCATTCATAAAAATCCTAATAATACCACTTCTGTTGGGTTTCCAGAGCACTTAGGAAACTGTAAAAAAGCAAGCAGCTCAGGCTCCTTGCCAAGTCCTGCTGGCTTTCAGCCTTTGCTGCCCCGCTGTGCTCCCTGCCAGGTCCACCCTCAGCTCACCTGAGCATTACCAGTGGATAGGTTTAACTCTATCTCACCTGTACGGACAATCTGGACCTAAGCAAACGAAATGTCAAAATGGCTCATCCAGCTCTCGGGTGGTGGCCTAGCTTCATCTTTGTGTCTCAATTCCGAAGCTTCTGTATTGTTCTGAAGTCTGGCATTCACTTGAGCCCTGACTGACCTTGTCCAAGCCTTGGGAACCTGCCCAGTAGAGTCCCTTAAGGAATGGATTCTGCCCCTTCCTTCCTTCCTTCCTTCCTTCCTTCCTTCCTTCCTTCCTTCCTTCCTTCCTTCCTTCCTATCTTCCTTCCTTCCTTTCTTTTTTCCAGTAATGGGGATTTAACCTAGGGCCTTCACACCGAGCCACATTCCAAGACCTTTTTTTATTTTGAGACAGATTCTCACTAAGTGGCTAAGTTTCCCAGGATAGATTCCAACTTGCAATCCTCTTGTCTCAGCCTCCCAAAGTGCTAGGGATATAGGTGCACCTC